TACTATGTTCCCAATTTGACACATGAAGTGGCATTTTCTAATGGAACAACCTTGTAGCAGTGGGTGAGAGACTAGCAAACTCTATTTTTTGGGCTCATGTTCCTTATCTATAATATGAAGGAGCTGAATTAAATGATCTGTAAAATCTCTTCTCGTTACAAATTCCTGTGAATTCAAGTTTTCTTTTCTGGCAATAACTGGCTAACACTTTCAACTGCTTTTTAATGGCACACCTGGATTCCTTGAGAGTATAATCATATTCTCAACATACAGATGAGTACCTCCTTGTTGATGCAGAAAAGCATAAAACTGGTTTAGTAAAAACAACTTAATTAGAAGATAAAAACAGAAGACACCAAAATAATAGGGAGGGCTGAAATACAGCACAGTTTTATAAAGTTCAAAATTAAACTTTTATCTATTTATAGGTTATTGCTATCCACTATGACTCTGGAAATGATATAACTAAGGAGTATTAACTTCCTAATATTTATACCAAGAACCTTTCAGTTTTTCTATGGGAATGAGAAAGACTATGGATATGGAAAACCACCTCAGCTTCCTGTCTATATTAATGCTTAACTCATAGGATTCTTCTGAAGATGATGTGAGATACTGGAAGTCCTTCATCAGCTGTAAAGTGCTATTCAAAGTCAGAAGTATTAGCGTTAAATTAATGACAATGGAGACCGCATAACCAAAATACTTAAAAAAAAATCTATTTTCCAGTGAAAAGCTAGACCATAATTTTAGTAAAATCCTACCTCTAACACTGGTTCTTAAGAGATTGACAGCATGAGCTCATGCTGTGATCAGTGAAATAGGAAGAGAGCACCATGAAATCATATATTCAGAAAAGGAGCATTAGAACGGAAGGAAGTTCCATCTGAAAATAGAAGTTCTGTCCTCTTAAATACTTGGCTTCCTGCTATTACAGAGGATATCAGGGATAGGGAGCATTTTGCTAACAAGAAGACAAGTTCATATTTTGGACTTCTCTTTTCAGAAGATTAGAAACATTTTTTCTCTCAGGTTAACAAATGTGGTCCCAAAGTACTTGGAAATATTCTTAAGAATTTTGGATATGTAAGCAATCATTTTTAGACAAAATCTTCTGACAATAGGTTCCTCCATAGCTAAAGCAATCCATTATTATTTATGTCATTCTGATTCCAGAATTCAGTCCCAATTCACTCTACAGGATTGACACCTAAATCACAAGTAATGAAATACAGTACTCCAGGCAGTTGTTGGGTGTAAGCTCTGAAATTGAACAGTTTCCCTTAATAAATCAAAAAGAGAAACTCTCTAAGGTTTTCAGGAGAGAATAGATAGCTAAAGGAGAAATCCTTGGGTAGAAAGGAAGGGTTGTCTAAGGGCCCCCATATCTTCTGTCTTTCAATAGGTAGACCCTGGGAGTATACTGCTCATCCATTAGGATTTCAGCTCAATTATGAGCACAACCCAATCCATTTCCTATTGCTCTTACAGCTCAACTAAAAGATCCTTCAAAAAGAACTATATTAAAACCAAGAAGAAACCAAAAAAATAAAAGAACAAAACTGAAGAAAACAAAAAAATAAAAGAACAAACCTGATTAATATTCTTAAGTAGTCAAATTTACAAGTGTGGGTTTCTGATCTTACAGTCACCAGCATCTATTGACTCATAGACCTGTTCCACTCCACATTCTTTCTTTACAATATATAACCTCAGCTGTTAACTTCTCCTACTATTACTCAGAAGCTTGTCTGATCTCCTATCCTGGTCTGTTCCTGAACAAACACAAATATTCTTTATTAAAACCTAAACCTTTTGATTCCTGTTGCCAACGGTTCTCCTATTCAGTTACAGTATCTGATCCTAAAGCTGTCTCATCTCTTCCCAACTCATTCTCAAAGTTTCCGGTTCTTTTATTATGACAAATTATTCACAGCTCCTTCCCTACTCACTGCATCCTTACTTCCAAGGCATATAAAAGTGGAAAATATTTTTGTGCGTCTACTATGGAAAGACTTAAAATATCCAGAAAGAAAATTAAAAAAAAATTTTTTTTAAAGACGTTTCTAAAGCAACCTCCTGTAGTCCGGGTCACCTAGATTTGCTTTCTTACTGTTTTCAAAAAATCTGTCTTTACTTATGCCCTGGCCCAGAGTTCCCTTTCTTAATGAATGGGAAGGAAGTTTTGCATACCCTTCTCCCACCATCCCCTTCTCTCACCACCCCCTAATACTCTGCACAAAGCTAGATGTCCCACTGCTTAATATTCTGAGAAGGGCTCCTTCTGCTTAGTTTTGTGGCTCTCCTGTCGTAAACAGTCTTCTTCCCTGGCCAGAAGTCTTTGTCCTGCTTTATCTCCATTACCCTCTTGGCCTTGTTATGCAATGGAAAATTTGTTTAAACCTTTTGGAAGGAAGATTTGATTTCCTGAGATTTTAATGAAAAATATATGGCCCCCTAGGGCAGAAATACAGACAGCATGGTATATTCTCTGTAATTCTAAATTTAACCCCCAACACTCATATGCACAATCACTGCCATATTTGCTAGATAAATTTGATTCAATCCTCAAACCAATCCTATAATGAAGAAATAATCTCCAAGAATTCATATAACATGACCGAGGATGCAAATTACCATTCATCCATCTCCAAAGGCCAGGATTACATCATTTTAATTTGCCACAAGGGTCAGTGGACTCCCCAGTAAAACTGAAAAAGACATTTTAAAAGTATTTTGGTTTCAAAAGCAAAAATACTCATTTTTCTCTTTGGTCCCAACAACTTCTCTAGTACATAAACCTTTAGCTGGGCTCCAGCTTCTCACATCATCCTCAGTTCTGTTCCATCCCCAAATTGCCCACAACTTGCTTCTATTCCCAAGCCCTACTGACTGATCTTGAAGTGTATTTGAGGCTCTTTAGAAAATAAACACGATCTTCTCATTTCTCCAGCAGCTCCCTCACTGGACAATGCTGAAGAGTAGATTTCTAATCCATCTTTCATCAACTTAAACTCACCTGCTCTGTATCTTCCAGAAGTTCCTCAAATGGTCTTGTCCACCACCAGTATTTTCCACGTTCGCCAGGGCTACTATGGGTTCATTCTTATTTTTACAACTGTGATTTCATTGGGATTTTGGAAGCAAAGGACCATAACCTTCACTTAAGATACAATTTTGCAGCAAAGACTCTTACCTGAATTTTCTATTCTTTCTAGAATTAATACGATTATTAGTATAACAGAGAAGTATTTGAAAAATAAGGAAATAATTATATTGCTATGGCTTGGCACTCCAACCTAATGTTCATCCCGAAATCTGTTATTTCCTAGCATGACAGGAAAATTTCTGGAGAAAAATAGTAAAAATGCCTTGGTCCTTGACCAAGTAGGTTTTCCTTGCATTGTTTTAGGTTAAAAATGAGAAGGTTCCAGCAAGTACTGGCTTATAAATTGTCATTCTGTACAACTCCTGATATCTTAATCCAAATTAAAACATAAGTAGCCTAAAGGATGGCTGTATCTCTAGGCCCAAGTACGTCTACGATTAGACAAATGTAAATATTGTTTACCTTATATGTTGCTTCCTTTGTTATGAAATTCCTTTGCTTTGCCAACCACGGTGTGGTAATTAGAAGTTTGTTTAATTTATGATGTTTAACTCTATGTTTACAGCAAATAAAAGTTTGGTTCCCAAATATAATTCCATAACAAATGCACTGCTTTTACAGGCGGAAAAATAAAAATTGACTGAGATGTGAAGGAGTGGCTCTCAACAGAAAGCCAGAAGCACAAGGCAGAAAGTTCAGCATCCTTGTTCTTTGTATCTGAAGATATCAACGGCATGCATATGACTGACGGAAAAAACCAACATATTGTAAACATCTGCACAGCCCTCTTTGAATCTGCTTATGGTAATAGTTCAAAGGACTTGTCATCCTAAGCTGCTAGTATTAATACTACGCAGAGGTACGTCCTAACATTTCTATTGCTCACTGCTTCTTAGATCCTCTCCCATTCAGCTTTGCCCACAGCAGTTCAAATACCTACACTAATCAGAAAAGCTGGATTGCAGTAGCTTAGTTTACAAACAATTAAATGACAGGTCTCCCTGATTTAAGAGGCTGAAATACTATTTCATGTTTCAATGATTTTAAGCAATTCAGGGGATAAAGAATGTTTCAGGAGTAGTATCTATTACGATATTCTTAACTAAGCTTTTAGATTGTAGAATTAAAACATGGAAGTAGACTTTGAAGATAGGTTGCAAATAGGAAGTACTAAATGTACGAAAAGAAGTATTTTGCACTAGAATTAAACTATGAAAACTCATACCACAATTCTAGAAATAAATATTGATGGACTAACTCAAAGAGAATCTTATTCAGCTACTCAGTTTTCTAATTTAAAGTACATTAATGCTTTAGTCTTTGTTGTACCTCAGACATACTGAATTAATCATTTTTCTCATCTATTCCCATCATAGGCAATAACTTACTCCAAATAAAAGTTGATTTTTAAGTAGCTATTTCTTTAATGATTTTGACATTATTGCTTATATTTTTGTCTCTTCCATAGTAATGAAAAATTGCTAACAATTTACATACCAAGTTGATATCTAGCTACAGTACCTAGCATTGAAATACTTTGATTTTCTAGAATGATATAGTAGATGCTTTATATTAACTGAAAAATTAAGATCATAGCCATTAGCCATTAAAAAGCATTTCATATTTCAAAACTTTTACTGGTATAATTTCCATGCCTCCCAGAAATTATTTTAGTAATTTATAATATTCAAAATGTTATGACTATATATCGGTGCTCATTTGTAAAATACTCTATTGTTTCTATTGCTTAGGTCTTTATTATTATGCTTGGCATTTGAAGCTCCCTACAATCTGGGACTTTTCTTACTCAACAAATTTCCTTTCTACCCCTCTGTAGCATGAATCTACCATTCAAATCACGGTATTTTCACAGTCCCATGAATACATTACGCTCATTCCCATATTTCTTTTATTCGTATTGTTTCTCAAAATATAACATCCTCATCTCTTACCACCTTTCTACATTTTATCTGTTATTATCATTCAAAAGATAATACTTACATAATTATTTAATTACTTATAAAGCAAGGAAAATTAGGGCCTCACTTCATACATCCAAAAATATCAGATATATTAAAAAGCGTAAAAATTAAAATAAAACACATAAAAAAACTACATGTAAACATTTGAACATAGAATAAGGTCTAAGTACAAAACCAATGGGAAGAAATTATAAAGAAATGATCACTAGACTTCCTAAAAACAAACTTTCATACTTTAAAAATAACTATGGAACAACCTGAAATGACAACAATAAATTGAATTTCTATATAAGAAACTGGAAGACACCTTTCTTAGCTTCCTTCCCTAAATATCTGTTGAACACCTGCAGGCTGTTTATACACAGCAAAACAAAAATATTGTAGTCAAATAACCATGTTTCCAATAAGGATTTTCTGCTGCTTATTCTCAGGATTTTTGCTTGTTTACTTAATTCTATTCCCTCCCATCAGGTTATTTTAAATGCATGGCCTTCATTAATTTGTTCAACACATGCTATCATCACACCCCAACCACATACTAGACCGTGCTAGATACTAAGAACATACTACACTGGTGGGCAAAACTGATATGGTCCCTTCCATCACAAAACTGAAGCCTAACAGAAGATACACATTAATCAAGTAATCACACAAACTGCATTAAAAAAAAAAAAAAGTACAGAGCACAATGACAACATATAAAAAAGGACTTCATCTGTTGGGGATATGGGATGTGTATGTATCTAAGATTTCCCTAAAGAATTCATGTCTATATAAAACAGTAAGCTCTACATACAGGGGCTATATCTTAAATATTTTTGTACCTTTCTGCATCTCACAGAGTAAGTTCTTCTATATTTGTTAAATGACTTATTCCCATTAAAATCTGAGGTTATCCTTATTAACTAGCCTTCTTTTTGTAATGGTGTGCCTGAAGCCAGCTTTAGGCTGACTGATACTTTCAGATAGATACTTTGAGATAGTTTAGAAAGATACTTTTATTCTTATAAGATTAAACAACTTAAATCTTACCTAGATTATAAGGTGATTTCATGATTAATATTGTTCAATTTAATAAATACTATCTAGACATCAAAATAACATATTTCTTAAAAAGAATTACTCATGTAATGTATATACTAAAATATTAAAAATTGTTTCACTAACAGTACACATAGGTTATACAAAAATGAAATTTTTTTTAAAAGCACGTATTTTCACACTGTATATCCTGGAAGTTTATTTATCACTAATTCGCAAATATCTTTGCATTGTTTGGAAATACTTAGTGAAGCAACTTCATCATCTTCGTCAAAGCGATCTGGTGTACTGCTATCCAGGACATTAAGTTCTAGTTCTGACAAATTAGATGGCAGATAAGAACTCACTTGAGATGTCCGAGGTGACTGGCTTTTTTCTGAAGACTTGCAACCAGTTCTTGTTTTAAGTTTAATAGAGATGTCTTGACCCCTCTTTATAACTTTAGAATTATACATACTGTTTCGATCTCTCTGGTTTTCTTTTTCCTCAATCCAGTGTGATGAAGATAAATCACTGCTAGAGATACTAGACGTTTCCTCCAAACTTTTATCTTGAATCTTTGAAATATGAGATCTTTTATATGAGTGTACTGGTGATCCAGCTGAAAAAGGTGGGCTAAGAATAGAACTCTTTTCACTGCTGTTTTTTCTTATGGACAGTATTGTTTCACTAGACTTACTTGTGTATTGGTTATGTTTTGGATTTTCTGCCCCTGGACTGCTATCATGAGCTTGTAAAATTCTGCTAGTGTCCTCAGTGGTATAGAAATCTTCAGAAGAGCAAGGGCTGGTGAAGTCATCAGAATACTTTAATTCTGAGATGCTTTCAGAGCAACTATTTTTACTTGGTTTATTTTCACTGATATCATCAATAAGAGTGTCATCATCGGTGGTTTTGACCTGTTTATCCTCTATTTCTTTATCTACTACAATTCTGTTAACAACTGCAACCTGTTGGAAAACACATGAACTTTGGACTTTCATTTCCATTTTTCCTTCCAAAATACTTGCATGAGTAAAACCTTCAGGGACAATGGAATTTGCAGGACTCACAATTTCTTCCAATAAACCATTATTGGCACTATGTTCACCACAATCTACAGCTTTTTCAGTTGCACATTTCAGTTTAGTTTCTTTAGTTGTGCTATGGTCATCAAAAACTCCACTGATTTGCTTTGAGGTATCACTGTTTTCAGCAAAAGATGCATCTAATCCCAAACACTTATCTTTCGGCAGTTGGTGTGGCTTCTGATGTTGTTCTGCAAAGCTTAATACTTTAACTTTGGATGGTGGAGTTCTGAGTTTTGCACCTAACATTTGTGCTTGCATTTTTCTATACTGCTCTCTTTTTTCATGTACTACCAACATATCAGGATTTGTCTGCTTTAAACGTAGTTTAAGTGTATTTGTTAAACCGTAAAGCAACTTCCCCCTTGGAACTCTGTGGGGGGGGTTACCACTGTTCTTTTCAAAATATTTACCTTTTTTGAGATTTTCAGCTTGGTTCTTTTTATACTGAAGATTTGCTGACTTTTCATTTCCCCCCATAGAAAGCCGATCCTTAGATTCAGATTTACATGTGCATTCTGGTGACTTCTTATCCTCAGTTCTATATAACCAGGCTAAGTGAGGATGTATTTGAGTAGGGCTTGCCACAGGTTGGTTGTATAACACGGACAACTCAACCAACAAAGCATTTAACAAAGGCAGCTGCCTTACTGTATTAATTCTATTTTGTTCAGTTTGAGCATGATCTGTAGTTTGATCACTTGCTCCTATATCCTGAACATGCGGAGCATTTATGAGCACTGGAGGATTCTCATGTAACCCAGAATTAGTAGGTTTCAGAGAATCAGTAGGTGTTGGGGCAGTTGCATGATTTTCCTCTAGAAAAACAGCATCCAATTCCTCAGGTACATTTATTTGAGGCTTAATGGTGATTGTACCCTGTACAGGAGACATCTTTTCTTGGGTCAAATGAGTGTAATACAGAGGAGGGGGGCAAAAAGTGTTGGTTTCAATGTCTAACTCTGTGACTTCCTGATCTGGGGGGCTAACGCTCCTCACACCACTAGAATTTGAACAAATAGACTTGGTTTTGCCATGCTTCACAGAAACCGTGTTACCAGAGTTGTTCTTACTGTGGGAAGCTCTTTCCTCCAAATCCTTCTGTACCTTTGGGATTTTTAAACCCACGAGAAACCTATCAGCATCTCTCGCTCTTGGCTCTGAGTTTGGTTGCTGTTTTTCCCGCAGGGTTTGGGAACTGCCCTCTACACGCTCCACCCCACCTCCTGTGGAAGTAACTGGCGTCTCGAGATGGCCCAACAAGCTGCTTCCCAAATCAGTCAAGCGGTAGCCCAGAGCAATGTACCCAATCCGATCCCCAGCTTGGTTATGCAGAGGGAAATTTCCTCGATGACCCTGGGAGCAGCCGGAGGCGGCCTGTCCCAGGACCTTGTGGGCGGCGGCGGCCAGCGAGATGCTACAGGCACCCAGGAGCTGTGGGGCGGGAGTCGGACGCCCAGGGGGCAGCTGCAGTAGCAGGGTGTGAAGCGGGGTCCGAAGGAGCAGGCGGTGCAGGGTGGCGGGGTGCAGGCGGAAGAGACAGGACTTGCCGCGACCGAAGCTGACCAGGCCGGGCCGGGGCTCCGGGGCTGGGGCGCCGGGGCCTTCAGGAGGGTAAACCAGCAGCGTGGGGAAGTCCAGCAGGCGGAAGGCCACGGCGGGGCACAAGTCGCGCGATGGCCGTGGCGGCGATGCCTCCTCCTCTTCGGCCTCCTCTTGCTCCTCCTCCACCGCGACCACGGGCGGCGGCGGCAGCAGCCCGGCTTCAAGACGCACCCAGTCTACGAGCAGCTCCAGCGAGAAGAGCCGCTCGGACAACGGGGCCGCCATTGCTGTTGCCCCTGGAGACGCTACCACTGTCTCGGGGAAGGGGAAGACGAAGCTTGGTTCTCGCGAGAGCCAGGGAGACCACAGCGTTTGTGCCTGCTCTCTCGCGAGACTTAAGCCCCCCGCCTCCCCCCGCCCCCCGCAGGTCTAGGCCGCCGCTGCTCTGAGAATTCTCGCTGTTCGATGTGTTTTGATTTCCAGGCTTATGTTAACACAATTACTTGTAATACCGAGGCATGATAATATGATGCAAGAAATCAGACTTGTTGTTGTTGTTGTTGTTGTTTTGGCCACGTTTTTACCCATGTAGATCTCATGCAATTTTGAGGTCAGGTCAGTTCTGTCTCAGGAAAATTGAAAGTAAATCAGAACTCCCTTTCCAGACCCCAGGGCAAAAGAAAGCCAGTTAACTCTCCAGGGTGGGCCTTCTCTGGCTGCTGGTCCACCCAAAAGATGATGACACTGCTCTGAAGCGGCGTGGGAGCCAATATCTGAGTAAATTATGGTAGCGCTGAGACACACAGCGGGTGTGGTCACATTTCTTTTTGAGCAATCGCCGTGTGTGAGATTAATGTTAATGATTCCATTTAACAAAACAAATATATATACGTAAACCCACAGTTGGGGGAGGAGAAAAGATCTTACGGCACTATCCCAGATGTTCGAGGAGACATACTACCCTCAGTAGTATCTAGCCAGCTAGATTGAAACCAAGGCTGATAACATGGAGAGCTTTGAACGACGGAGTAAGGACTTTGGACTGTATTCTGCATAAGTTGTTTTGAATGAATAAGTGTGATCATATCCGTGTTTAGAAATGTAGTTATACAAATACAAAGGATGGGTTCTACTAATAACAAACTGAATTCAGAGCAATCTATTGGGAGGCTGTCCCAGTGGTTCAGGTGAAGGAAAATGTGGCCTGAACTTGGTCAGCATCAGTGAGAGGAGAAAGAGGTGACAGAAGAGGCATTTGGGATAGCAGAATTTAGAATTTGGTGACTAGGGGCCAGAAGTTATGGGTAAGATTTTTTTTTTTTTTTTTTTTGCTTCTGAAGGAGAAAAAAAATGAGGCATAGATTTTATTTTATTTTTTTTTAAGTTACTTTGGGTTTTTAGGATTATAGAGTTTGAGGTTCCTGCCAGACATGATGTGAATATGTTTAATTTTAGACAGCTTTATAATTTATAGTTAAATTACATTACATCAAAGCTCAGAAGAACATTGTGAAGCTCAAGGGAAATTCAGAATTGGAGGGATTGATGCTTTAGTGTGAAGACTGAGGGAGGTTTCACTGCAGTATATAAATAGAATATACTACTCTTGGCCTTAAGAATCTTACTAGCTACTTGCAGAGGAAACGTTTATCAAGTGACATGCTTAATGGATGGATGACATAGAGCAATAAAAACAACATAATCACAAGTGGAAAGCAATGAGGTAGAGTCCATATGTGCATCCAGTAAGTCTTTTGGGTAGGGTTAATAATGTGGAATATTAGCACTTGTGTGTCTCCTGCATACAGACAGGGAAACCCATGTCCTTCTTCTATAAGGACATTGCTTCTGTAATCTGTAAAGTTTCTACAGAGATAATATATTCCTTGCCCAGATATTCTATATGATTGGTATTGCAATATATGAATAATATTTTCTAATTGTACATAGTGCTAGATTTAACAAATAAAACTTGAAAATGAAAAATAAAAGTTTCAATGTCCATAGACCATACATGGAGAAATAGCACAGTGCCGTGGCTAAGAGCCCAAATTCTGTAGGCAAACAACCTGGCTCAAATCCTGGCTCTGTGACCATATATTAGTTTCTCAACAAATTGTGAATCATTTTCCTCATCCAAAAAAATGAGATATTTATAGTATCTACCTTATAAAAATATAATATTAAAATTATGTAATATTAGTATTACAGTAATATAGTATACTATGTGTACTATATTTATTCTATTTGACATAGTATACTATATTTATATAGCCTGGCAACTTGCTAAAATAAGTACCATTTTACTTATTTGCCATATAGCAGACTTTTTAGTTGAGTTTTTTAAAGCACTAAGCTATGAGTTAGAATAAATAATTTATCTGACATGGGCTCATTGTTTTCCATCTGTAAAAGTTTATATGCTCTGTACTTTACCTTTATGTGGTAGCCAACTGTTTTTGTTGCAGGAAAAGGCAGGATGAGGCAAGAAACTATGGATTAATGCACATTAATACTTTAAGATATAAATCTGCTATGCAATGTTAAGGAGTTTGAAGTTTATTGTGGGGGTGGCCTGAATTAGGATGTTGGCAATGGTGGGGAGAGAAATAAACACACTCAAGAAATAGTTAGGAGAGATATTTAATGGGACTGGTTGATTGATTGTGAGGTCTGAGGGAACAGAAGGTGAAGCACAGCTTTCTACTTTAGGCAGTTAGGTTGATGGGTCAGATACAGAGGAGCAGGCTTTATTGTAATTGCTGTTGAACAAGGAAGTGAGAGAGACCAGAAGAGAAAACTATGAGTTTCAGGGTCTGATATGTTGAATGTGACGTACTTGTTATACATCCAGGTAGAAGGTGGAAGTTAAATATATGAATCTGAAACCTTGAGAGATCGAGGCTGGAAATACAGGTTTACAGACATCAAGATGGAGGTGGTAACCTAATTTCTTCATAGAAGGCATAAATAAATATGGCACTGAGACTTTTTTTTTCTTTTTTATGTGAGTTATCTCGGGACTGTGCATACTGTAGGAATTTTGGGTTGATATCTAAGGAATTAGGATCAGATATGATGCTGACATCCTTTTCTGGGGCAATAACTTTAGGGTGAAAAGAAAGTCAGGACCATTAAATAAGGTAAGGCATGATGAAACTAATAATTTTGAGAGGAAACAGCAACTGGGTTAGTGAAACTGATTGAGCTGTGGGGCTGGCTCTTTAAAGGCAGACAGTACATCATATAAGGGCTGTGGACCCAAAAGGATGGATCCAGCAGGTGGGATGGCTTAGCAGGAGTTGTAACAAAATGACAGTAGTGCAATTAAGTAAGAGCGCAGCATCATATTCTGGATGGCTGGTCTACTTTGGAGCAGAAATGCAAATATATGGAAAAACACCAGCTCCTGCAGGAGCATGGAGGCCGGCAAAAAACCACTTAGATGTCATGGCTCCAACCTAGTTTACTCAGCTTCAGAAAATGGAAGGTAGCTAAGGTGCTACTGAGGGAAGTGAGGTGGACATTGAGTTTTATGAACCAAACAAGTCCCAGTTAGGAGGAGTCTGTAACTCAGGGACCATGAAAATGCTCAAGACTTACTCTAGAAGCACCAAATACTAATTCCAAGCTCCATTAGTAAAGGCATTTGGCTGCCTGTAGGCATTCGGCTGCCTGTAGACTTCCTGGCTTAGTCCAGATTAGCTCTAGGATCAGATGTAACCACCTGTAATTGATGTGGACTGAGAGGGCTGAAGATGCCTGTCAGGAGGAAGATCTAAAGCTGAGTAAAGAGAGGGCCTGCATGGAGCTAACTAGGGGGGAAATGAAATCCAATATCCTTTATTTAAGTATAACTTTACACAGTGCTTCCTTTCCCGCATTTCAGAGAATGCAATCTACAAAAAGCTTATAGCTAACATCAGGTTTATGACGAAAAAATAGAAGATTTTCCACTAAGATCAGGAACAAGGCAAGGGTGTCCCCTTTTACCACTGTTTTTCAACACTGAGCTGGAAGCCTTTGCAATAAGACAATAAGAAAAGGAAAGGAAATAAAAGGTATATTGATTGGCAAGGAAGAAATAAAATTGTCTTTGTTTGCAGATGACACGATCATCTATGCAGAAAATCCAAAAGAACTGACCAACTCTTGGAACTAAGAAGTGATAATAGCAACATTGCAGGTTATCAAATTAATATACCCAAGTCAATAGCTTCCCTGTATACCAGCAATGAACAAGTGGAAATTGAAATTAAAAACATAAATCCATTTACATTGGCACCTCCCCAAAATAGAATATTTAGGTAAAATCTAACAAAATATGTGCAAGATCTAAAACCGGAAGTGCCCTACAGGGTTAATAAGGTCGAAACTAGTAGAAAAATTAAAGCTTGTTTTTCAGAGAACTATTTCTCCCTAGTCAGCTATTGTATCTTTTCAGACCCCACTAACAAATCCACTAGTTGTGTCTGCAGAAGCCTGGACTCAAAATCAATGATATGGTTCCAGCCTATGAACAAGCAAGACCGTGCATTCCTTACCTGAGCTAACAAGCCCCAGACCTCATCCAGTTTATACCAGCTCTCAGAGCATGCCCCTCCTTGTCCTAAGATAACTTCCTGACATCAGGGGCTGAATTTTGCCTTCTTCTGATAAGTCTCCACTCCAAAGTGAACATGGGGTGTGTGTTACACATGTTTGCTCAATAAGCATGCTCTATCTTTCCTCACGAAGAGTTTTAAGTTTTCCCATCCATTTCATCAATATGTATGTAGTGTCAACCCCTACGATTATAAAAAACTTGTTCTCTCCCCCTTCGGGGAGGTGAGTTTGAGACTTGCCCTCATTTGGCTGCCTCTCGGACAGACTCTTTCCTTGCTGCCAACCCAATGTCTCAGTGATTGTATTTGCTGTTCTGTTAAGATCTATACTGAGGAAAACTAGAAAACCCTGACAAGATCAAAGAAAAACTCAATAAATGGAGAAATAGTCCATGTCTGTGGACAGGAAGACTCAATATTGTCAAGATGTTATTCCCAACTTGATTATAGAGTCAGTGCAGAGCCAATCCAAATCCCAGCAAGTGACTTTTGTGGTTATCAACAAACTGGTTCAAAAGTTTAGATGGAGAGACAAAAGACCCAAAATAGCCAATGCAGTATTGATGAACAAAGCTGGAGAACTGACATTACCCATCTTCAAGTCTTACTATAAAGCTACAGTAAATAAGACAGTGTGGTGTTGGTGAAAAATAGACAAATAGATCAATGGGACAGCATAAAAAGCCCAGAAATAGACCCATGTAACTATCATCAACTGATTTTTGA